TAATAAAAAGAAATAATTTTTTTTTCCAAAAATTTTGCAACACAGAATGACAGTTTCAGAAAGGGGCTTGCGACAGCCAAAGGGTTAAATGTTCATTTATCCATTTCATTAGTCATTTATATTTATTTCTCACTGTTTTCTGTACGTAAAACTACATTCTCTATAAAATGTATATTTTGTTAATATTTTTGGGTGTCTGGAACGGATAAATTGGATTTACGTTATTTCTTATGGGAAACATTACTTCAGTTTTCATACAAATCAGTTTTTGGCCGACCTTCTGGAACGGATTAGACAAAAACTGGGGTTGCACATGTGTCTAATTTTCAACTCCTACTTTGTGTAAGATTCTTTATCTCTTAATCCCACACATGTTGCCAACACCCAAGACTTCACTTCTCTTACAATACCATCTATAAATATATTGTACAGCCATGATGACATTGCACATCCCTGTCTAAGGCCTACTTTTACTGGGAAATAATCTGCATCTCCTACATACTCTAACCTGAGCCTCACCATCCTTGAAAAACTCAAACTGCTTTCAGTAACCTACAACCTATTCCATGGCAGTAGGAGACATAATTTAAGGAATGGCACTGTATGACCCATATGGGCTTAGCACTTCCCCAAGAATAATAATAATATTAAGCAAGAGAATGACAATACTTATGAGGGGATTCGATAAAACCTAGGCAATGTGATTTGGTGGGATAACACTTGATTGCTGTCTGTGATTTTTAAGGGAAGGAAGCGACAGTACAAGTAATGATACCTTTTCACTTATGCAATCCTTCAGATTAAAAGTACTGACAGTATAACATTCTTTTTTTTAAATCTTCTGAAATATCAGAGAATCTGAATCTAATGACACCAAAAATGCAACAGTTTATGGAAAAATTACAGAATTACACAGGGATTAAAAGTTTACAAATTAGGTACAAAATGGAAGTTGTCACAGTTACTAGTTAACAAATTAGATACAAATAGAAATTGTTACAGTTACTCTCTGCCAATGACATTTCTTTTGGGAAATTCTGAAGAGAAGTTGCAAAGGATGATGGAGGAATTTGGGAGGGTATGTAAAAGAAGGAAATTAAGTGTGAACATAAGAAAGAGCACGGTGACGAGAGGAACAAAATAAAAATCTTTACAGGCATTGAAAGACTGACTGTCAGACTGCATGAAGTACAGAGGAAGTGAATGTGTTCAAATATCTGGGAGTGGACCTGTTAGTGGATGGGTCAATGAAAGACTACATGAACCACAGAATGGACATAGGGGAAAAAGGTGGGCAGTGCAATGAGACATCTGGAGAAAAAAAACTATATGGAGGCAAAATAGGAGAAAGTACCTTAGAATAGTAGTACCAACACTTACGGTACACGAGTGGGGAAACATGGGGTTTTAAACATTGTATCGAACAGAAGGCTAGAGCAGTGATGTGTTTAAGGGTAATACAAACATTGTGAAGAGAATTCAGAGCATGGAGAAAAGGAGGAGGAGGGGTTGAGATGGGTTGGGCATTTGGGGAGAATGGAGCAAGGCGAGATGATGGAAGGAGAGGGCACAAGAGGATTCGAGTGCTAGGGGCTTCAACATTCAATAGGCTTGTGTAAGAACATTAGATTGGAGCGAGTGGAAACACGTATTTTTGTGGCTATGTATTGTTGGAGTGTGAGCAGAGTAACACTTAAAAAGGGATTCAGGTAGTACAGTGCCTGCACTCTGGAAGAGGGATGAGGATGTTGCAGGCCATCTGAACTGTAATGTCAGCACATTGCAGTATGTGGCACACAACTGGTGTAACAAAAAAAAAAAAAAAAAAAAAAAAAAAAAAAAAAAAACTGAAGTAGGCCTACTGACCCAAGTTAGGCAGGTCATTTTGAAATCCACCCTTCTCACTCATATTTGTCTATACAGTAGGGCCCCACTTTACAATGTTTCACCTTACAGCATTCCACTAATAAGGTCATTTCAAATTATGACCAAAACTCACTATACGGCTCCCCCCACCTGACTAATATGGTCACCGCGTGCCACCCGGTGTGTTTACATCTGTGAGCACAGTCTCTTCATTGTGTCTGGAAACTTTAAAACACTTGAAATTTTGGAAAGTTATTGCATATTTTATATGTACTCTGATAATTATACCTATGTGTACTTGTACCTAAATAAACTTACACACTGTGCTGGCATGCAGGTATACATTAAAATCACTAAGAGTGTCCCTCTAGTCTTGACGCCATATTAATAATAATAATACGAATACATAATAATAACAACCACTCTTGGGCACATTAAATGCCTTATTTTACATTAATATAAACATTTTCATTAATCCATCTATGATATTTTCTTCAAAATTATACAAGAAACACATTACATAGCATATAAACATGATACATACACCCAAAGTACAATAAATTTCACATAAATACGAGATGCGATACCAGGTGGAGGGAAAGAATTCCATTTTCCCCAGTCCAGCACCAGAGAAAGTGTATATCAATGCACATTAAATGCATCTGGCTTTGTTTACAAATTGTCAGTATGATTTCTCATCACTTCTCTGTCATTTATGATGCATCTAAGGGTAGTTGTTAGAGATGATTAAACTCGGTGAGCAAGGTATGTTGACGGTGGTAATAACATCGCTCTGGGGTGCTTTAAATAGTATCGTATATTACGTTTAGGTGTGGTAACCAGGAGGCTACACCTACCAGGCTACTTACACCTGACTTCCTACAAACATTACTCCCCTCTCACCCTACATTAAGACTATACATATTTTAAGGTAAGTAATGAGTGTACTGTATGTGTATTTTATCACTCTGGCCCCTTTAAATATCGTACCTACCTACACCTACCAGCTACCAACAAATATATACTACTCACCTCTCACCCTACATTAAGACTGCAAAATATTTCAAGGTAAGTAATGACTATACTGAGTATGTATTTTACATTTTTTTTTAATGCCTAGTTCTACTGCTAGCTTTAATGTTAATGTAAACTTATCTGGAATTTCTATGCATTTACAAGTGGAAAAAATGGCATTCTGCTTTTTGGGAGTAGCCTGGAACCTAACCAGTCATGTTAGTGGGGCCCTACTGTATAAAGTTAGCCCTGGTGTATTTTCAAAAATTACACCTGGTCAATTGCTCTGCTCATCTATAACTACTGCTAAATTATACTTTCTTATATTCCTTTAAACCTTTGCTCATCTAAACGTTAAGCCATTGGTTCAGATACATTCTTTGCCGAATTTTTTTTTCAATGCACTGGCCGTTTCCCAATGAGGCAGTGTGACCCAAAAAGAAAAACTAAAGTTTTTCATTTTACATGTAGTAAATTATACAGAAGGGGTTACTAGCCCCTTGCTCCCAGCATTTTGGTTGCCTCTTGTTGGATATTCTTAACACCATATCTATTTTGGGTATTTAAGTCTGTTTCTTCCTCTTTAAGCCACGCGTGTCATAAGAGGCGACTAAAATGCCGGAAGCAAGGGGCTAGTAACCCCTTTTCTGTATACGTATATTATTAAATTTAAAGAGAAACTTTCGGTTTTTCTTTTTAGGTCACACAGCCTCAGTGGGATACGGCCAATTCGTTGAAAAAAAAAAAAAAATTAAGTGTGTCTTTCATTTGTATAGTTCAATCTTTTTTCCTGTGTCTTTAAGGAGTAGATTCTGAGCTCCTAAACCATCTTCAAATGTAAGATTCTTCATAGAGTAGATTAATTTTGTCATCCTTCTCAGTCTATTCTCCAATGCATTTACTGTAACTTCTATGAATGGTCAACTGAAATGAACATTTTTTCTTTTAAAAGCTTAATGAAATAAGTGTACCATTGAGAAGGCTCCAGGAGGCATTAATGTAGCATACAGATACAATAACACTTTGTATATTTCTTCTCTGCAAGTAATGTCCAGAGAAGACATATGTGGGAGAAACTGGTAGACATTTCAACAAGTGCATGGATAAACATTACATCTCTCCTGTAACTAAGTAACTTGTTGTATCTTCATCTCTATTCAACCACAAAACTGAAATTACTAAATCAGTTTGAAATTAATCATACTTTTAAAATTGTACTTTTCGTACATTAGCTACCTTTCTTGGTCTGCATATAATTGTAATTAATGGCTTAATAAATCCTACTTAGCAGAAGATTATCGAATCAGTTTGAAATAATGAGTCAAACTAATGAGTCAAAATGTACCACTGTTCATTTAGCTACCTTTGTTACTGTGCATATAACAGTAGTTAACTGCATAAGAAAATATTTAATAGTCTAAATCTTATGTATTCTTGAACTATTATGATTAGTTTGCCCAAAGTGCATTTGCATACTAGTGGCTTGCTTTTGTGCCTAACAATATTTTCTTACATGTAAACTACATTATCCTTGTACAGTATAATTTTTTTTTATTTGAATTTGATGTTAGAATAGATAATACAACCAATACTTTCTGTCATGCAAGTGAATGTGACCAAAACAGATTCTGACAGTTGCAAACTGGTATTCAAATTTTGTCGTATTTTTTAAAATGGTACACTGCCAAACCAAACCATATACTACCTCAATTCCAAAATTTAATATGTCTGAAGGACTATTTAATCTCAACAAGATAAACTGAGTCCAATTCAATAAGCATCTTATCAAAAGGCTTGATAACAGAGATGTGAAGTGTTAAGAACAATGGATGTCAAACTCTTCTGATTAATATCAATCACGGTCAGATAACACCCTTTTGCAGTCAGATCAATGGAAATCAGGTGATACCTCTTTGTTCTTATTCCAGCTGAACTGGCCGTGTGGTATAGTGTAAGGACAACTAATTTCTTACTGTTTGTTACATATTGGTTTTTTCTTTCTCTCCCACTTTTTTTTATTTAAATACCAAGATTAATGTAAAAATTTACCACTACAAAACAGTGATTATATAATTAATGTATTTTCTGTGGAGACAAAGTGTTAATAAACTTATACATACCCCTTTCACTCTCTTGTCACATTTGCCACAAATGGGAGCAAAATACTTCTCGTAACAGTCTTCACAGTGAAGGGAACCTTGCTCTTCTACAAATCCCATGTCAATTAGCGCCCTACGACAGCTTTCAGTGGAGCATACAAAGTGATCTGGGCACCAAGTCTTGCCTAATGCAGAAACAAAGGGACCCCTGTGGAACATTTTAAATGTAATTAAATGTAATAGCAACATACATGTATGTCATGGCATTTTTCAACTTATTAGCTAGAAGGCTATGAAAAATTTACATCATAATGAGTATTCTAAAGATTTTGCATAAGCAGCTTCAACTTTACTGCTCAAGAGATATATAACACACCTTATGCAGACACGTGTACATTACAGGTAACTTGGCATGCAAAGCCATATAATGCAGGGAGAGAAAAAGAAATGCGTTCACAGGTACATGTACAGTACTACAGTAGTGACAGTATAATACATTTAACAAAGCCATAAAAGTTTAAAATACAGTATACATTAGAAATTAGAACAATGTGACCATAGCCATTTTAAAACCTTAGTGATTAGATATTAGAAACACTGGTTTATGCATTCACTTTTATTCAAGCACTCCTAGTAACTTTTTATTAATTGCTAATTTATGTTCATTAACTGTTAGATTTTTATATTTATTCATTGCAAATCATAATGTAGCTTACAGTATTGTTCTTTAGATTACTTTTATACCTTTTTCAGTTTATCAATACTGGACTATATTATATGAGTGAAGAATATTGTATATACTGTACACTGGAGTGCGTTAGTATTACCTGATGGGTGTGTTGCAGCCACGGCAGGTGGGACGCTCCTTGCTGGTAGTAGCAGCGGGTGTCACTGTGCCTGGCCACAAGGGACAACAAACATGACAAAAGATACACACACAACATGCTTAGGGCAAACCTGGGCCACACCTGCCCTTCTACAATAATTGCAAATCCATAGCCACACCAACCAACCTGATCTGGCGTGTGCAGTCAGCACAAATGGGTATCCTGGTGGTGGTTGATGGATTCATCACACCACGTCCACGACGAGGGGCAGTCCTCTGCCCACCAGTCTGAGCAACACCCTTCATAGAGCTACCACCCAGGTCTGGCATTGGTGTGGGTTTGGGCATTCCACCCATAGATGGAGCAGGTGCTGGAGCCGGAGCGAAGACAGGAGCAGGGCCTGTGGGAGCGGGGGGCTTGGGGGCTGCAGGTTTTGGCATTGGGGCTGATGCGGATGCTGCAGCTGGACCTGGAGCAGGCTTAGGAGCAGGTGCTGGGATAGAATTAACAATAGGAACTGAAACAGGAGGAAGGATGGGGGCAGAGGCAAGTTTTGAGGGAGCTCCTGGGGCCGGACCAGTTTTCTGACTTGGTGCTGTAACTGGCTTAAAACCAACATTTGATGATGACTTTGGAACTGGCTTCGGAGCTGCCACAGGCTTAAAACCACTAACAGGCTTTGAAGCAGCAGGTTTAACAGCAGCAGGTTTAGGAGCAACAGGCTTGGAAGAAGCAGGTAGAGTAGATGACAGCTGAGGGGTGGGAACACACTTGCTTGCAGAGGGCATTGGCTCAGTGATGGGTGCAAATGAGGGAGGCTCTATTTTACCCTTTCCTTGTGAAGAAGGGGTTTTGCATGCTGGAGTTATTGCAGGGGCTGGTGCAGGAGCAGGTGCATGGGCTGGAGCAGAAGCAGAAGCAGAAGCAGGGATAGTTTGGGCAGGTTTAGCGGGTTGCTGGGCGGGAGGGGAAGCCTTTATGACCATGGTATCGTAATCTTTTGGTGGTGGTGGAGTGGGCAAGAGGGGAGGCCTCTTAGGGGGTGGACCAGCTGCATGCTTTGGTCTGGGCACATAAACAGGTTCCCCCGCAGGCGCCCAAGAAGGTGTACGGGGCCCCTCCTCCACCACATCCACCGTTTTTGGTGGTGGCCACACAAAAGGTGTACCTACATCGATAGTGTGGATACAGAATGAGCAGAGAACCCAGAAAATAGGAGCAAGGGATGAGATAGTCATCGATAGTACCCAAACCAGATAAAGTCGATATTATAAAAAGCAGCGAGCCAATTACCAAGAAGTGGAATTCAAGTCAGACAAGTAAGGAATTATTCATGGGAATGAAATCCACAATTTTTGTTTAATAAAATGAAACAATTCCATTAAAAGTGCCAGTGAATCCATTAGCAATAGATATACCAATAAATGATAATTATCGATTGATTGTTAAAAGAATAAGTGACCATGACATCCAGGAGTGGCAATAATATGCCGCAACCAGTAAAAACAATGTAATTACCAAAAATGTTCCAAATTGGGTCAAGCGAAAGGCAAGAAAGCAGAAATAAATAGGGTATAAAAAGCAAAGGGGAGAGGAGGGAAGGACCATACCAGACAAAAAAAAAAAAATGGGGACGGGGAAAAGAAAAGGAAATCCCTAATTAGAATGCGATTCCCCAGGCAACTAGTTCTGGCACTTATATTATTATTATGGCAGTCCAGTAAAAACCAAGCAGCATGTGACAAACAAAAACGTGCGTGCATCAATGACCCCATATATGTATACTGCACCAGCCAACTCACATGCACTTATTTTAATAATTTGGACCACCAGCTCTGTTATTCATTTCCAAACTTAAGCAATTATGATTAATTTATTGGAAGCAAAAAATGCTTTATTTAAAAAAATGGTTCCTCCGTCCAAAAAAAATGTCTGGTAAGACTCCCTCTATGAGGTACATGCAATTGCCAGGAGGATAAAAAATAATAGTTAAGAAGGCTGGACAGAATCTAGGAAATGTGAGTTAAATGGCCTGTGAGTAATAGTTAGTGAAGAGCTGGGAACAGGGGCACAAGACACGTGCTTGGGAAGCATTGGAATGTGCAATGGGGAAGAAAAGGTTGGCGAGGCCACAGAAAAAGGGGCAGACTTCGGAATCTGGGTTAGCTCCAGCACAACTCCAGCCGCAGCAGTTGCAGCAACAGGCTGCTTACAATACGGCAGTTTACACCACCACTGTCCACTTCTGAAGCAATGATCATGGTATACTAATGCCACCTTTGCCAACCCGAGTACTGTTCACATACTTTGTTTCATATACTAAAATTACAGAATTAAATTTAAAATACAGTGTTACAAGGCAGTTGTGATTAAAGAAATTCAGATGTAATTTTAAACTGGTTTATTCCTAAACAGTTAGAAAATATTATCCAAACACTATTGGGTTACTGAATGAGAAAATTGACTGTGGCAAGCTAACATAATCCACTGGAATACAGCACATTTCATATTTGAAAAACTGTAGCGGACGGAAATAAAAATCATCTCAATTGTGTTAGCAGGTATGTAGCAATGCACTTGTCTAAAAGTACAGCACCAAAATGAATGAAACTCAGAGTGGACAGTGGGGATGTTCAAAGAGTGGGCAGTGGGAAATTTCAAAGAGTGGGCAGTGGGGATATTTATGCTATGAAGCAGTCTGCCCCACCATTAACATGACAGCTGGATACTGTAATGCTCCTTGCTCACAACCCACAAACACCTTAATCTACCACCAGCAACTACTTTCTGGTTCAAACAGGCATATCCAGGTTTCACTTGTTTAAATTCAAAATTCATAAATAAACAACCATGTAAATGAGCAGCAAATGGTGTCTAGCAATTGACATAATAACCACTTCAAGTCTGAGTTCTACCAAACATTTCCACAAGAGAATAGGCTTAGAATTACAACAAAAACATTGATATACCCTGTGGCACGCTCTAATCTCTCCTCATAATTTTATACTCTGAAATCCTCATAACTCATACAGCTTCATCTCAAAATACTCATGAAGTGGAAAGACATTACACACTTTTAATTAGAATGGTATTTCCTTGAAGGATATATTAAAAAAAAAAAAAGTGATATTTAACTAGTCAACTAATATTTCCAACATTTTACACAATACATCAATTAAGATTTAAAATGCTGTCCAAACAAAAATCATTATATGGAATGGGTATTCCCATAACAGAGCAGAGCTGCTGACAACTTTTTGAAGTCTGCACTCCATACAACTCTGCAATTAAAACATTTTATTTTGAATACAATGCCACAGTGAGACAGCAAAAATACTCTCGTGACATACTATTGTACTTCAAATGGCAGGAAATACCATGTCCAGTTTATTGTTTTTATACAAAACTGTTCACTAAACTTTCACAACTTGCATGAAATTTATGAGGTTCAGCATTTACCTGAGCTTGGCAATACTAGTATGAATGTAAAACCCTTCTCATTCCTGGATTTGCCCGACATTCATTAAACCTCTATTGCATCATATTCTAATACAAATATATTAAGAGGGCTGTCTAAAAAAAATCCTACATAGAGTAATTAAGTCATGTTGATTAATAATGCATAGCAGTGTTATATGAAAACCATATTATACACACACACTTCTGGAATATTTAAATTACACCTTGAAAGTTTAAAAATATTAATGTATCACTGACAAATAGACCAGTGTAATTTTTAAGCATGTCACAACTTCCAATATCAAAAATAGTGAGGAAAAACCCCATGCTCAAGCTGCAAACAAAGTATAATATATATACAGTATTTCCAATAAGTTAAAAGTACTGTACCTAATTGACCTACATTGTACACCATAGTAATAAATATGGTATCCCTTCAAGGGTAGGGAATCCTTGAAGCTGGTGAAGGATACATGATCAAATGTTATTATCTCCCCCCCACCCCCCTGCTTTTTATTCCCCAGGTATTGTATGATCCTTATGGATTTAGCACTTTCCCCTGCATATCGCACATTATAATAATAATAATAATAAGTTTATTAGTACATGATACATAGCTGTACAAGGTATTATAGTAGTTAAGTGTACATGTCAAAAGCCCCTTTTATGCAGAGCATTATGGGCAAGCTTAAAATAGCTTAAGATTATCTAAGCTATAACAGATTTAATGGTAACAGTTACAGTAAAATTTACAATATCAACATTTATGAATAAAGCTGTATCAGGGCTTTAATACTGTACAATACTCAAAACATGTGCATAAGGTGTACCAAGTATTATTTTTAATCTTGGGGAAGATGGGGGGGGGGGGGGAGTTGAATGGTTTGGATGCTAGCCAGCCTTCATAGAAACTGTAAGTACGTTATATGATAAATTGTACTACCTCATATTAATAATAGAGTAAAATACTGAATATCTGAAATTTACCACCCTTTACCTGTCTAGACTTTAGTAGTCTAAGTATTAGGTTAAGTCTGCCTGAAATGCCCCGGCATAATAGTGGCTTTCTTTGTACCAATCAAATTATGAAATGTAAACGCACATTGTAACCTTTGCAAAGAAATAAACTTTTGTTTGTTTTGTACAGTACATGTAAGGGTAAATATTCCTACAATATTATGTTGACTATAAGGCCACTGGGTACTTTAAGACTGGGAAAAGGTAATTACTAATAAAGTCTACCTATATGAAGAAAATTATACTTTTGGAGATGCTAAACTTGTAGTACTCATTCAGCATGCAGAGAATGTGGAATGGAGGCAATTAGGTTTGATTCAAGAAAGGGGAGGATATCATCTCTAGATCAAGAACCCCTCACCAGCATCAAGTAACTTCCTAACATCCACTGAGGAGTGTGTGTGTGTGTGTGTGTGTGTTTATAATATATATATATATATATTATATATATATATATACACACACACACACACAGTATATTATTTATTTTATTATCACACCGGCCGATTCCCACCAAGGCAGGGTGGCCCGAAAAAGAAAAACTTTCACCATCATTCACTCCATCACTGTCTTGCCAGAAGGGTGCTTTACACTACAGTTTTTAAACTGCAACATTAACACCCCTCCTTCAGAGTGCAGGCACTGTACTTCCCATCTCCAGGACTCAAGTCCGGCCTGCCGGTTTCCCTGAATCCCTTCATAAATGTTACTTTGCTCACACTCCAACAGCACGTCAAGTATTAAAAACCATTTGTCTCCATTCACTCCTATCAAACACGCTCACGCATGCCTGCTGGAAGTCCAAGCCCCTCGCACACAAAACCTCCTTTACCCCCTCCCTCCAACCCTTCCTAGGCCGACCCCTACCCCGCCTTCCTTCCACTACAGACTGATACACTCTTGAAGTCATTCTGTTTCGCTCCATTCTCTCTACATGTCCGAACCACCTCAACAACCCTTCCTCAGCCCTCTGGACAACAGTTTTGGTAATCCCGCACCTCCTCCTAACTTCCAAACTACGAATTCTCTGCATTATATTCACACCACACATTGCCCTCAGACATGACATCTCCACTGCCTCCAGCCTTCTCCTCGCTGCAACATTCATCACCCACGCTTCACACCCATATAAGAGCGTTGGTAAAACTATACTCTCATACATTCCCCTCTTTGCCTCCAAGGACAAAGTTCTTTGTCTCCACAGACTCCTAAGTGCACCACTCACTCTTTTTCCCTCATCAATTCTATGATTCACCTCATCTTTCATAGACCCATCCGCTGACACGTCCACTCCCAAATATCTGAATACGTTCACCTCCTCCATACTCTCTCCCTCCAATCTGATATTCAATCTTTCATCACCTAATCTTTTTGTTATCCTCATAACCTTACTCTTTCCTGTATTCACCTTTAATTTTCTTCTTTTGCACACCCTACCAAATTCATCCACCAATCTCTGCAACTTCTCTTCAGAATCTCCCAAGAGCACAGTGTCATCAGCAAAGAGCAGCTGTGACAACTCCCACTTTGTGTGTGATTCTTTATCTTTTAACTCCACGCCTCTTGCCAAGACCCTCGCATTTACTTCTCTTACAACCCCATCTATAAATATATTAAACAACCACGGTGACATCACACATCCTTGTCTAAGGCCTACTTTTACTGGGAAAAAATTTCCCTCTTTCCTACATACTCTAACTTGAGCCTCACTATCCTCGTAAAAACTCTTCACTGCTTTCAGTAACCTACCTCCTACACCATACACTTGCAACATCTGCCACATTGCCCCCCTATCCACCCTGTCATACGCCTTTTCCAAATCCATAAATGCCACAAAGACCTCTTTAGCCTTATCTAAATACTGTTCACTTATATGTTTCACTGTAAACACCTGGTCCACACACCCCCTACCTTTCCTAAAGCCTCCTTGTTCATCTGCTATCCTATTCTCCGTCTTACTCTTAATTCTTTCAATTATAACTCTACCATACACTTTACCAGGTACACTCAACAGACTTATCCCCCTATAATTTTTGCACTCTCTTTTATCCCCTTTGCCTTTATACAAAGGAACTATGCATGCTCTCTGCCAATCCCTAGGTACCTTACCCTCTTCCATACATTTATTAAATAATTGCACCAACCACTCCAAAACTATATCCCCACCTGCTTTTAACATTTCTATCTTTATTCCATCAATCCCGGCTGCCTTACTGCATTTTGATTATGTATCGAGAAATCCTGTTTTTTTTATATATATATATACATATGTATGTATATACTGTGTATATATATACATATATATACACAGTATATATATGTATATATATACACAGTATATACATACATATGTATATATGTATATAAAAAAAACAGGATTTCTCGATACATAATCAAAATGCAGTACTATGACTTAACCGACTAATGTACCACATCACTATTGCATAAACAACTTCAGCAGCATACATCAGTCTCCTCCCTCAACAGTCAAGTGGGAGGATAAGTGCCAGAGTAGCTCTTATAAGTTACTATTTTCAACTACTGGTTTTGGCACTCATCCAGGGAATTAACTTCCTGTGACTTGACTTGCATTCATGTAACTACATTACTTTATGCTCAGGTCTACTGAATGTCAGGTACAACTACTTGCTGGAAAAATTTCTAAATTCCCCTGTAGCCAGATTTATTTTGAGGATGACAGTTGTAAATGAGTTCATATTTTGAAATAATTTATGCCACTAACATCCTTATTCTGGTATGCTTCATAATAATTATTGCTGCAAAATAAATTTCACTTGTTCCAACAGAGGCTTTGACATGTCAATTTTAAGAATATTAAGAAAATTAATTGTTAAAGAATGGAACTGTACAGTACAGTGTAAACTTGCCAATTTTTAAGAGCTCACTGCCACTTGGCTACAATAAAATAATGAACTTTATACAATCTACCCATATACCCTTATATATTTCATTAAAATTTTAAAAGTTATGCATTACAAATATAAAGTAAAATGTATTCATGCTACACATGCCAAAGCATTAATGTTCAAGGTTATTAAATAATTACATACTCTATAATATAATGCAGAGTGAAGATCACTCTCCATTATAATTTCTCTTTGTAATTAAAACAAAGGATGAATTGCAATGGGCAGAAGGATGGCAGGGCTGCAGAAAGTGGTTAGCCAAGGAGGCAGCCTCATGGTAAGCAGTGGCCATGTTGGCAATCACCCAGCAGGGTCAACCATGCTCACTGTCCATTACTGCAACCCTTCCTCTATGTGCCGAGACAAGTAGAAAATTAACAAAACATTGACCTAAGTTAGCCCTTTAATGGGTGAACAGCAGGCAAGGCTAGGCTGGCTTTGACTGCTGCATGAAACTGTACTGAACACCACACACACTTCTAAGCTTACCATGTACAAGTACTCATGGATAGAAAATTAGCTACTTGTGCATTAACTCACACTATCATCAAATCAGCATTTCACAGTTCAGCTGCCTCACCTACTGTTCCACATATATGGTCACAGTACCTTTCTTAGGAATGTGCGACCGCACATCCACGCTTCCAGCAGGGGCACCAAATGGTGCCTTCTGGGGCGCGGGGGCGGCTGGGGCTTTGAACGGTGTGAAGGTGGATGGAGGGGCCGCCATGGGTGCTGCGGGGGCCTGGAAGAGGACTGGGGCAGGAACAGGAGCCGGCGCCGGCTGCAACGTTGAGAGAACATGTTAGTACTAAGGTACACCCATGAGTTGGCCGGGACCACCTCCCTACGCCTGACATGGGAGGCGGGGGAAGCAGCCCCTTTGCTATGTGACTAGTGCTGAGGGCTGGGAACCTTGACATAGACCAACACTACTAAAACAATGTAATGTTGTATCCATACTATGCTAGTCAAGCTTAAGAATTGATGAATGCATGATGCTTTATACATGTTAGTTGCTGGCTGGCGTTCATCGCCATCACTAACAAGTTGCAAATTACTAACTGTATATCAGAACACTAAATTACTTTCTGGAGCAGCGTATGTATGGACGCTGAGCTATGGTAGACTGTGGCACTGGCCCAGCCAGTATCATGCGCAGGGGACATGCGCCACTCTACCTCAAACAGTGGGGCAGCTGGCGGGGCCTCGGGGGCAGCTGGCAGGTGCTCGGCCACCCCAGATGCCCCCCTCACACACTCTGCCGGTGACACATCAGCAATAGTGGCAGGTTCTGCTGTAACTGCGGGCTCTGCTGCAACTGCTGGCTCTGCTGCGACTGCTGGCTCTGGTTCTGGTTGCAAAATGGCCTTAGGCTCTGGCTGCAATATGGTGTCAGGCTCTGGTTCTGGCTGAGAGACAGCCTCAACCTCTGGTTCAAGCTGGGAAATAACCTTGGCCTCTGGTCCTGTCTGTGAAATAACTGGGGCCTCTGGTTCTGGCTCTAGTATAGCCGTGGGCTCCAGAAGAGTCTGTGGCTCTGGTTTAGCCTCTGTCACAGTATCAGTCTGTGGGGAAGCCTCTGTTTTAGGCTTGGCCTCTACTTCAGTTTCAAGCTGTAGATCTGTTGTTAGTGGTGATGCATCCTGTTGAACCTCTTCAGTTGTTGGAGCCTCTGCCTGGTGCTCCACAGGAGCGACGTCGGCCTGAAAGGACCGCGGGATGGTGACAACGCAGCATAACCCCCACACTAGGCTACAAACAGCACGTGCAAGGGAGGACTGACATGCATCAGGGAAACATTACCTTAACAATCAAGTTTGGTGACAGTCCGCCAAATAGCTGCCACCTCAGCTAATGGGCTACCCATCCATCCCTTCCCTTGCAACACACACCCACAAACACCCACCCACACACAAATGCCATTGGTAGACACACTCAACCCATCAAGCCTGATATAACAGCCTTCCACAATGCAACTCTGCCAATGTGCACACATCTGGGCTCTAAGCTTTGTGTATGTAAGGGGTAGTTTGGCCTATGTGGATGCTCTGGATTATATATAGCCTAGTTGCCAAATGTGTATTTCACTAGAACCAAATAATTTGTAAATGCTTCCATACACAGTATTTTCACAATGAGATTTTAATGTGCATATATTTAAGGTGTACACAAATAACCCGCACATAAAAGAGAGAAGCTTACGACGACGTTTCGGTCCGACTTGGACCATTGACAAAGTCACTTTGTCAATGGTCCAAGTCGGACCGAAACGTCGTCATAAGCTTCTCTCTTTTATGTGCGGGTTATTTGTGTATCGTTCCAGTCATGGTATTGTGCCTTTTTGTTATTTATTTAAGGTGTACTTGTATATATGTAGTTAAAACTTGGCAAACAAAGCCTGCGTACACCAATTTTAACAAAGAGAGTTTTAATAGCTTTTGGTGATTATTAACAATTAACATTTTGATTGTGTATACCATATTACTTTGAAGACAACTATCTAGCATGGCTTATGAAGGGTCTTCGTGTGTATGGGTGCTAATTTGCTCTTACAGATAGGCAATTCTTAAAACAATTTTGAATCACTGCAAATAGCATACTAGCTAATACTGTACAGTACAATTTTTCAATTTGTATATTACATATACTATTTGAATTACAATAATCAAAGAAAGCGCTAAACCGACAAGGGTCATACAGCTATACTATTTGAAAGTGGGGTGTAGTTAACAATAGTTTACAGAGATGGATGTAGTTTAAGTTGTGTCTTGGGCCCATGTATTGACTAAGTGACGTTATTTAGCTCTATCATATTTGGATTTAAATCAGTGTAAGGAGTCCGCTGATGCACCCACCACCCGATGCATTCCACTTCTTGACTAGACTTAAGTTAGAGTTTCTTGACAAGTCTGTGGCTAATTTGGGTGCACATTATCTATTTATATAAATATATGCAAATCTGAAACACTGATCAGGTCAAGCACTAATCAGTGCTTGACCTGATCTTTGCTTGACCTGTATTCATATTGCATATAAAATCTCTCAACCACTATAATAGTTTGCCTCTTAATTCCATCTGTTTTGTAGTTTCCAGGAAAGTCTTTCATGGGAAAATTATCAAAAGCATTTTGTGAATGTAAAGGTGATATGCCCATCAATTTCTTTATTAATTTTTTTTGGCTAATTTTGTGAAGGGATTTTGCTGATCAAAAAACTGAACAATTAGGGGCCAGGTTTTAGCATTCCACATCTGTCTACTGTTCTTTAATAATTTATCAATACTTAAAAAAAAAAAAAAAAAAAAAAAAACCCACCTCTCCAGACAGACTAATAGTTTAGGGTCATCTTTTTGCATACATTTGCATGAGAGCCATTTTAAATCCCAAACTTTTTCTCTGATTATTTGTAAATACACAAATAGAAACTGCTCATGGCATCTGATCAACACTTATTAATTTGTCATGAAATTTCTTAAACATTTTAGTGGCTGTAACAATTACTACCTTGCTCACTCCATTCCAATAACTGAACATGTAAAAAAATTTTTACATCGTTTCCTCAATTTACAAGTTTTAGCCTCTTATACTCTATTGATGTAGTACAGTACTAAATATTCTTCATAAACTTATATTTACTGAACATATTTTGTATGCACACACTAGATTAATGACGTGTATACATGTATTAACTTGGCTCTGACATGACATAAGCCACTCTTTATTTGTAATATTTCACCATACATACGATGTGCTATCAAAAAGTTTCCAAATTCAAATTCTTGCCAGCTTCCTGGATAAAATACAGCAGTGGAATAGATCATGCTGTGCAGTATACTCTTTTGTGAAGTAGTGTGGAGAATTTAAGTCAGTCATTCCATGTTAGCGAGTTCTTGCAACTTTTTTTTTAACAAAAGAAAGAACAGCTGATGCGTGTATGAAATTCTGCCTCAAGCTCTGTAAAAAGGCTAGTGAAACAAACGCTTCAGCGAGCATTTGGCAACGAAGCAATGGGTCAAGCACGGTGTTTTGAATGGGTTTCACAACTCGCAGCAGGACGAACGCTCTGGTTGTCCAATGCTGAGACAGAGACAGACAGAGAGAGAGAGACAGACAGAGACAGAGAGAGAGAGACAGAGAGAGCAGACAGAGACAGAGACAGAGAGAGACAGAGACAGAGAGAGACAGAGACAGAGAGAGACAGAGACAGAGACAGAGACAGAGACAGAAGAGACAGAGACAGACAGACAGAGACAGAGAGACAGACAGAGAGAGACAGAGAGAGAGAGACAGAAGACAGAGAGAGACGAGAGAGAGAGAGAAGAGAAGAGAGAGAGAGAGACAGAGAGAGAGAGAGAAGACAGAGAGAGAGCAGAGAGAGAGAGAGAGACAGAGAGCAGAGAGAGAGAGAGAGAGAAGAGAGAGAGAGAGAGAAGAGAGAGAGAGAGAGAGAGAGAGAGGAGAGAGGGAGACAGAGAGAGAGAGAGAGAAGAAGAGACAGAGACAGAGACAGAGACAGAGACAGAGAACAGAGAGAAGAGACAGAGAGAGAGAGAGAGAGAGAGAGAGAGAGAGAGAGAGAGAGAGAGAGAGAGAGAGACAGTGAGAGAATGGAGGAGGAGGAGGAAGAAAAAAAAGAAAAGGATACCAACGTTGAAAAAATGAGGAAGGCTATTCATGAAGATTTAAAGCACCCCAAAGCAATTGTACTTAATGCATCAACACTAGCGAGATACTTTTAGTTATTTTAATGTACCTGCACGCCAGCACAGCGTACAAGGTACAGGTACACATAAGTACAGTGGACCCCTGGAATACGATGGCATCGGTATATGTTAAATCCGGTATACGATACATTTTAACTCAAAAATTTTGCCTCGCCACTCGTTAAAAAACTCGCCACATGCGATTTGTCCGGGACACGTCCACGTGTGGCCTGAACTGCCCTGTGTGTGCCAGTGTTTACAAGCCAGCCAGTGTGATCGCATCTAAGCATATATTCGGTACATTCCATATTATCACAGTTTTTGGTGCTTGTTTCTGCAAAATAAGTCACCATGGGCCCCAAGAAAGCTTCTAGTGCCAGCCCTGTGGTAAAAAGGGTAAGAATTAGTATAGAAATTAAGAAAGATTTTGAAGGGTTTGGGGCTAACTCTGAGAAGCCTATGCCAGTTGTGGAATCTATTGTGCTTACTTCAAAAATTAAGGAAATGTGTGCAAAGTGGGTTGAACTGCAAACCTTTATGGATGAAAATCACCCTAACACAGCTATTGCAAGCCATGCTGGTGACTATTACAATGACAATGTTGTGGCCCATTTTAGACAAATCTTAAAGGAACGGGAGGTACAGACCTCTATGGACAGATTTGTTGTGCGACAGAGGTCCAGTGACTCTCAAGCTGGTCCTAGTGGCATTAAAAGAAGAAGGGAAATAACCCCAGAAAAGGACTTGCTACCTCAAGTCCTAATGGAAGGAGATTCCCCTTCTAAACATTAACAACTTCGACACTCTCCCCTCCTCCCATCCCATCAATCATCACCAGATCTTCATTAAAGGTAAGTGTCATGTATTCTATTGTTAGTAGAGTACTACTAACTGTGCATGTCTTCTTCAGTTTGTGTGCATAAACTTAATATTTCATGTGGTAAAACTTTTTTTTTCATAGTACTTTTGGGTGTCTTGCACGGATTAATTTGATTTCCATTATTTATGGGGGAAATTAATTCGCCTTCCGATAATTTTGGCACATGATGAGCTCTCAGGAATGGATTAATATCATATACCGGGGATCCACTGTACAATTATCAGAGAATACATAAAATACGCAATAACGTTAAAACACTTGAAACTCTGGAAAGTTTCCAGACATAATCAAGAGAGATACAGCTCATGGATGATGTAAACAAATAAGAGTGGCATGCAGATGCTATAATAGCATATCAGGAGTCACATAAATGAATTTTAAGGTATAATTTGGAATTTCCGTATTAGCAGAGCACCATAAAGCAGGGCCCTCCTGTATTTTGTCTTTCACAGTTTGCTTTTTGTAAATTAAAAATATAAGGTATGTTTTTTTGGATACAATTTCCTTTAAACAAAATTCCACACATTTGTATACACTATTCATGCCTGGCAAACTTGAATCTGAGATGTGCTTTGGTTTGGTCAGTCTTTAGATTTATTTTTTTTTCCCTGGGCCTCCAGAACTTGCTGGTGTATACTTTGTGACATACAGGGTTGACAAATACAAGAAAATTACACACCCATATGAACCTGAGGGATGTCAAAAATACTTTAACTTAAGTGGTAAAGTGTGATGAACTGAACAATGACAATAAAAGCAGACTAAGTACAGTAAGAATTTAAACAAAATATGACAGAGCTATGTTGCCCCATTCGATCAAAAGTTAAGTGGTATGGATTTCATGTGCACTTACTGGTATACAGTATATAAACATTTTCATTTCATAAATTAAAATACACATGCTTGTATGCATACTATCAATATTTCACTGTGTGCATGACCATGTTTTTTACACACAGCATATAGGGTAGAGGGGTTGTCATGCAGTGGAATATCGGATACTGGTGCTGCCGTAAGACCACCAGCTCTATACTAACTGTAAGCCACACAACTTGTTTAACTTATTAATGGGATTTTTATTCATTCTCTAAAACAAAGGTCTACAAAACAAAATGCCTTCT